TTTCTTTTGGAAGTAAAAAACAAGTGGGTTGAACAACTTGGGACAATTTCGTTCCACCAAGATAAAGTAATTAACTTGTTCCTTGAACCATGACTTTTTAGTTTTCATTGTATTTGTAGTTATCTTTGTCTGCCACCAAACATAAGATTGGACTCTTTTATGATCTACAATCCTATTACTTTAATCATAACAAACAGACCATTAAGTAATAATATTGCTGTTTCTATGTCAAACACGAAAACTGATTCATCTGCAATATGCAGCATGCTGAACAAAAAATAAAGTATACCTTAAAGCTATAACCCTGATCAATCAGAAATTGCTGTCTTTTAGTTGAGTAGTACATTTCCTGCATGCAGTAAGATACTGGCTCAAGCTCAAACTTGACAAAAGGACATTGCATATAATATGTTTAAGCACATGCAAGTACCAAAAAGTTGTGAACAGAACAGCTTCATACCTGTGTATCTGTAGAAACAAGAGAATAGAAAAATGCATTGTATTCCTCTTTGCCACCTGCCATCCTATCTTGAAGTTTACCCTATTCATTCAAAAAGAGAATGTTTGGATCTATCAATATCATACACATGAATATGTAACAAAGATATATTGGTATAGTGAAATTAAGACAAAACAAAACTTGATGATTCATGAAGTGAATAAGATATGACAAGATCCTACATCCGACCTTCATCAAGTCAAGAAGGTCGGAGTGATATTTTCTGGCCAAAGACTTTGGGCAGGGGCATATGTTAAATGTTATTGTTGCTTTCTATCACACTAACAGAATTTTAGAAACAGGCGTTAATAGAGTGTATGTTACAGCAATTCTGTAATAGAAATAACATCGTTTCGTCAATGCAGAAGGGCCCCCGGGTTGAATTGTCATCTCACGTTTGAATACAGCTCTACCCTCTTATTGGCTTTGGAGATTTGCTCTCAGTCTTGGCAGTTCATGGAAGAGTGACGAAGGCTAAAGTTGGGTGTCCCCAACGGATTGGTAATTTAATCTGTCAATAGTCTGCATGATACAAGGAGTGGAAGAGAATTAGAATATGGTACAATACATGTCATGGCGATGACCCACTAAAAGCTCAATTCCCTTATCTGTCCAACCTAGCTTGGGCGTGGACTGACATACTGTGGACCATTGCTAGGAATCAGAGATTGGAAACCAAAGCCATTGTCTAATTTCCTAGATGTAGTGAATAATGCTCCAAATATCCAGCTTGTGATTAGCAAGGAAACTTTGTAGAAATTGGAATCTAAAGGATCTTTTGAAGTTAAAAGCTTCTATACTGCCTTCTGAGTAACTATATGTATTGTTTACCAAACTTCCCTTGGAAAACTGTTTGGATGTCGGAGACTCTGCTCCCTCCTTAAAGAGGAATTGTGATGGTTAAGTGCTGCTATGTTCGCAAAGAGGAAGCTGAACTGAATGGGCAACTGCAGGTCCCTTGTTGGAGTAGTTTACAGCTCGAGTGGACATCTCTTGTTCTAGGTTTATGCAAAGACGTAGCTCTCATTTCCCTCTCTACCTGCCAAGTTGTGTCCAAAAGGAGAGGATAGAAGGATGATTACAGATCCAGTGTTGCATTAGTTTACAGCTAGTGCAGGCAATCTCTTTTTCAAGTGAAGATGCAATGACATAGCTTTGTTCCCCCCTCTATTTACTAGGTTGTCTTGAAAAAGAACAGAAAGGGTGTTCGATGGTCTTTTTCCATAGGGTCAAGATTTTTGGTTCTATATACCCTGGACCTTCGGATTTTTGGTCACACTTTCACTAGGGGGTGCTTAAGGACAAGATCACTCATTTTTACTTATCATCAGTTTTGCTTTAGAACATTGGTGGTACTCTTTGGTTCCTTGTTAATAATATATCATTTTTCTATTTAGGAAGTAGCAGTTTCATGACAGATGAAAAAGAACATGCTAAATATATCATAGCCACAAATACAAATGAACCATGCAAAACTTTAAGCAGGAGTACCATATCTTGGCTTGATTAAGCTCAGAACTCATGCATATAAAAATGAAATATTCATACTGACCTTTGCCCTAAGAATACGACCCAAACGTTGGGCTTCTTGACGTCTTGACCCAGCATGTGATGAGATCTGAATTATCACATTTGCTTCAGGAATATCTATTGAGTTATCACCCACCTGCAGAGGACGGGATTAATTAAACAAGCTCTGCTGGAAGATCCGCAGTTTTTTTACACTTCTATTGGAAAACCAATTATAGAAGGATAGACCTCCTTAGCTTGGAAAAGTTTAACACTTGTAGAAGCTTGACTTCCAAAGAAATGTAAAAATGCTTACTATCACTAAAAATAACATAAGAGAATTTGTAATTACTGAAAGAAGTTGATGCTTCACGTTCAACAGCAAATACCTTTGATAGGAAGATAGTGTTAACATCTCGACTAGTTTTGAAAGCTTCAAGAATTTTAGTTCTCTCAACATGGCTGCACATCCCATTAACAGATACTCAACAATAAGCAACAGAAGTGAAAGCAAACTTCAAAAAGAAGGTTGTATCCTTAGACAACCTGGTAGCACCATAGATCATAGGCTTGCGGAGTTTCATTGCATACTCAGTGAGTGCAAATAGATTGTCAGCAAACACAATTATCTTATCACCACGTTGTTGTTCATGGAACCGTATGAGAAACTCACAAGCTCTAAATTTATTTGGGTTCATCACATAGAGTGCCTGAAATGTTCAAGCATCCAAATATGTGAAACAGAAGATGACAATCGGTTAACTAATAAAACTTGCATAAGCATAATTGAATTACATAGTGCTCTAATGGAATTACAGAGTAATATACACTTCTTTCTATCATTGTTACTGATTATGATAAAAAGGAAAACCACAACACCTTTATCTTTGACAACAGAAAACAGGACTCTGACATCTCACTAGAAACAATTATCAGAAAAACGTTATGACAAGCATAGAACGACTGTTATACATTTGTCACCTGTACGGAATTGATAAAAAGAAAAAGATTTTTAGATTCGCAGACCTGTCTCTTCTTGGAATTTTCTTTCTTCAAATATTCCGCAAAGAACTCCTTTGTCATTGGACACCACACCTCAGCACACTGTACATTTGCTATGAATCCACCTTTCACTAAATCCAACCAGTTGGCTTCATACAATTTGGGACCAATTAGGAAGTTCAGATCTGTAATCCTTTCATCCTCTCTCACAAGTGTTGCTGCCAGTCAACAAGAAATGCCTCGGTGAAAATTAGATGTTGCAGAAGAATCAAAATTTTAAAAATTATCATATATTCATATTCCCACCAGTAAGCCCCAATTTGCAGTGAGATTTGGTGAGACTGATTACTTTTCGGAACATATGAGCCGGGACCACATGCACCTGAATAGAAATGCAAATATTATGCCACAATGTTGATGAAAATCACCAAATCCAGTTCACATAATAACACGATCGGTAATTACCTCATCCATAAGCAACAGTCCCCATTCCCTGTTTCTTATTTCTTCAATTATCTTCTCAGATTCCTCTGACCGTTTACCACCAAAAGCAACCATGTTGTATGTTGTCACGACAACACCAGCATTGCCACGGAACCTTTCTTTGCTATCAGATGTGAAACGACAGATTTGATCTTCTCGTATGGTTGACCATAACCTAAACTGGAATGCCCATTGATCAACTGAAACGGCATTTGTTGCTAAACAAAGACAACTCTTCTTAATACGAGATGCTGCAGAGACACCAACAAGAGATTTTCCAGCACCACAAGGTAAGACAATAATGCCAGATCTTGCTCTACCTGCAAAATTAAACAATCACATAGTACACTCAGAACAACATAACTAATCCTTCCTCCAGTGAAACATGTTACAATCCCGTCAACATGATAAACAAACCAACTATTCTAAAACCACTTTGTCAATACAATAACATTGGCTAAATAAATGGAAATATAATTGACTGCTTCCAAAAAGAAAGTAACTATACCATTTCCAAACATTTTGCTAAGACTTTTTTCTTGATATGGTCGAGGTTGGGCGTGAGGCTTCAATTCCATGTCCAGGTCAGGGTTGACCTACAATACAGGAAAAAAAAAAAAATCAACTATGAAAAGATATACCATTAAAATCCAAGACAAGTCAAATTTTATAAAGATGGGTTCCTACCTATTATCAAATAACATGAATTTTTCGTTTTCTCATTCCCAAGTATTAACTTCTTGCAGGAAATGAAGTTGAGAATTGTAACTCACAGTGTCATTTCTGAAATCATACTCCTCTAACATTGGATAGTTTAAAGCATTTGGCAAGCAACGTTGCTTCACATTCTCCACCTGTCAACAAGGAATACAAAAAGTATATGACATGGGAACTTTGTAAGAAACAGTAGAACATTAAAGCTACAAGCATGATTGACTATTTCCATATGAACACATGATCCCTTATGAAATCCATATTTCCAGAAAAGCCGTGGAGAGCATCTTCATTTTCTTCATCTATTTATCTTTTCTTCAATAACTGGGACCCATTTAGGTAGGGCCACATTGGCTTGACCTATCCTTGCATGGTAAACACAAATAATGATGCCCTAGCCCCATAAGACCCACTCTATTCCAGACACAAGTCTGATAGCAAGATCATTTTAGAGGGAGGTTGTTCCAAGCATACCCTCTTGAGGCAACCCTATAAGGGGCAATCTCCAATTTTCTTTTTTTTTTTTTTTTTTTGAGAATATAATTCAATATGCAACAAGGAAGTGCACTCATGAACAAAAATTACACGACATCCTTAAGTCATCATGTTTGATTTTATTTTTTTTAATTATAGCAGAACAATTTAAAGATCAATCAAGCATCTTTGAGCTAATTTCAATTTTTAAGTAATATATGCATGGATATCTAGTGAATACAAACTTCTAGATTACAGCCCCAATAGAGGACACCACAACAACAGAAACAGAGACCACCATCAGCAACCAGCGAAAGCAACTGATCACTTTGCTCAGAAGGTTTATGCACTCATATCTAATGCGCTTTTCCGATTTTGGCTGAGCCCTTTTTTTTAGAAGTTATTTAGGAACTTTTTCAAGAATTGAAATAAGGCCAAATTGGAATTTTTATTAGGAGTTAATAGGATTAGGCAGATCCAACAAAATATGGAACCACCTATTGTGGTATCACCACTATTTCATCAATAATGACAGCCAAGTCAAGAGATCACAGGATTCCCTCCAACGAGTTTTAAAGTAAGTCACTAACAGAGGAAATCTTGAAACAAGCAACGTGCTTGGTTCAAGATTTCAGCCTTAGTCAATTCATAACATGGTCACGAACTGAGGAGTTTATCTATCTATAATGTAAATATAGGGAGAAGCTAATTACTTTCCACAGAGGACATATAGATTTTGCTATCAGTTTTTTACATGGATCAAACTAAACATTTAGCACTAACCTGTGAAGGATCAATCTCAAATGAATGAGTTTCCTTCTCTTCAGCCGCAGCGGCCAATTCCGCTTCATTCAACAACTCTTCATGACCACCTCCAATTTCACCCGCGGTTTTGCTGATAGTAAATCCATCTCTCCCATAAGAACCCTAAAAGAAACCAATGTCAATCTGGAGACAATGATAAAAGGAACAAAGATGGCTTAAGCTCCAGAAAAAAGAAATGTGGAAGCTACAAGCACCTAAACAAAAGTTACATGGGTTAGTTACTAACGGTCGCACAATAACCAGAATCAATATCCACATAAGCAATCCTCAAATAAACAAAAACATCATATAGTTAAAGAATCCAACTCAAATGAAGCCACATCAATATATCCATCCTCTAAGGACCAGATAAAATCATTTGTGTATTAGATAATATTATGTTAACTATCACCCTGAAGATAAGTGAATGCTCCCCCACAATCAAAAACTACAATCACATTGGAAAACGGACCTCAGAAGTAATCCTTGCTCGCGATATCACTTCATCTTGAAGCAGCCTCTTCAATACCTGCAAACATCATGAATAGATTAGTAAGCAAGAAAAAAAAAATTGCTTATTAATGTGACACGAAACATAAAAAGCAAAAGCAACTTGCCTCTGGAAATGGGGATTCAACAAAGTAGCGATTCTTTTTCAACACGAGTTTCACTTTGCCATAATTGGCAGTGGATTCATAAATGAAGTCAATCATCTCCTTGGGTAGCTTGGTCTTTGACAACTTACCCAAAACAGCAACAATGGTTTCTGTCTCCAAACCAACTGATACCGCGGCATACAAAGAATGTGGTGTCAAGTTATATTCGTGCATAGACTCTGGCCTACAAACCCAACCCAATCACGTTACAATCATATCCAAGCCATATGCATAAAAGACTCTTAATGGAAGTTACGATTCACGTCTCACAAAATGGGTACCTGCAAACTGGTTCAGCTATGGCAATAAGAAAATCGTATGCTTGTTTGTAGAGAGGGGAAAAGGTCTCGAGAAAAATCCTCCCATCAGCACAGGCCCATAAAGGCCTATTTGCGTGATCTGGTTTTAGTTCTAGTTTGCTGAAGTCCCTTTTCTTCCCTTCTTTTTCACGTTCAATGAATCAAAATCACCACTTCAATTAATTTGTCCATTTTCGATTTGAAAATAATTAATTAATAAAGAATCAAAAAGGAGAAAGAAACAAGTACCATCGCGATAATCATCCTCAGGTTCTTCGCCGTAGAAAGTATCATCATCTTCTGCATTTGTGCTCCTCTGATCATCCTGCGTAAATGATGCTATATTATTTGGCAGACAACTATACTTTAACAGTTGTATTTTTCCTTCTATATGAAGAAATAATATCCAAAACTCAAAGAAAATAAAGAAGGAAGACCTTGACAGAAAATTTAAGCTTTTTGTTGGGCCGACCCTTCTCGCCTGCAAATAATTTTATTCAAGTGGAAAATTAAGGAAGAAAGTACTATGAAATCGAATTTCAGATGGAAGGTTTGAGAGCCGAGACTATTACCGTGTCCCATCTGTAATGTGGTCCGATCCGACAAGGTTGTGCTATGTTCCTTTGGTTTTTTAAGATTATATGCGGTGGTGCTTGCGGTGGAGGCGGTGGGGAATATTTAAATAGACAGGGCCTGTTATATATGAACTGCGTTGATTTGACTGCCGCAGAAAGAAGGTATATTAGATAGTTTTGGGCCTAAAGTTCCTCTATTGCTGAGATCATAGCCCGTGCGTCTTGAATGGTTTTCGGCTCAAAACCCTGTCGTTTTGACCAAACAAGTGTGACTTCCTCTTTGGGATAAAATCAAGTGTGAACAAGCTTTTGGGATAGTCCTGTTGACAAAAGAGGAAAAGAAGAGTACTTTAAGTTGGGAGAGAACTAGGCATGGGGAAGAAGAGAAAAATATAGAGAAAAGAAGATCACATTGCTCCAATATCATTTTCCTCCCTTTTTTTTAGTGTTTGTGTTTTTTGTTTATTTTTTTCCCGTCTTTCTAGCTTACTTAACCTGTTAAACTCTAAATTCCTAACCTTTACAAAATCTCATTTCCCTTCATCCTCAAACTCATATGTCGAGGAGCCACTCATAAAGCCATATGTTTTTCAAACGTCCACCCTTATCTCACTCCTGCTACACACTTAACCGAACTGAACCCATATGTCTCTCTAATCCCAATTGAAGACAAGCTCTATTAGATAAGATCTAATGCATTAGGTGTCAATGGAAGACAGCCCAACAAAACACAAGTTAGCTATAAGTGGATATTGTATAAAAAAAAAAATTGATAATTTTATCGCTCACTACAAGATATGATTCCTACTCAGGATTTCATCAAATACTTGACATTTACAATTTAATATCTTTAAACTAGTGGTTATACCCACAATAATTATAGTCACTTATTTGTAATTGCAAAGTCCAACTATTGTATATTAATAATGCATTTCTTAGTAGATCCTTATAAGATGAGATATACGTAACTTTGGCTCGTTGATGTTAGTAATCCCTCTTTTGTTTATAGGTTAAGAAAATCTCTTTACAACCTCAAACAAATCCCCAAGCTTGATAACTTTAAAGAAACTCATATTTTCTTTTGGTTTCAACATTTATAGAGTATATGTCTCTTTTTTCATCTTTGTTTTAGACTCTACCTACAACTTTTTTTTTCTTATAAAGGTTAACGATGTTTTTCTTATAAGAAATTGTAAAAAGTCTATGGCTTCCTTCATTATTACTCTTTCTAAAACATTCTCCTTGAAAGACATTGATGATCTTCATCCCTTTTTGCTTGTTAAAGCTGTAAATAACTAATCTATATCTTTTATAGCGAAACGAATTTCATCTGAGTCTTTTAGGAAAATAATCTAGCATGTATAAAACCAAGCTTGTGGGTTATCCTATGTCACTGCTATAGCCTCTGATTGTCGATGATCTCAACCCTCTTACTAATGTTACTAAATACAGAAATGTGATTAGATATCCTTAATCGCCTTTGTTACTAATAAGCTTGCATAATTCATGCATTATCCAATAATTACTTAGTAGTAAGCATTCAAAAGAGTTTTATGATAATTGAAGGACACATTAATTTATGCCTATAAATCAAGAAGCAACTTTCCCATCAGCTAACTAACTTCTCATGTGCTTATTAGATAGGTGATAGTGCCAATCTCCATTTTGTTGATAATTATTTTGTATTTGGTTTACTAAGTCAAAATTGGTTCTAGCCTCTACAAGCCTATTTTGTAAAACTTTGCAACGTATCCAAGTTTTTAGTTGTTAATTGCTAATATTTTGTTAAGTCTTTAACTGATAGTTGTTGTTACATTCTAACTAATTTAATGATGTTTTCTATTAGAAAAAGCCTATAAAAGGCAGTAAGCATTCTGAATAAAAGTGCAATGATTCAAGTAATTTTCTTTATCTTTACTTTATAACAATGGTGTCATAGCATTTAAAAAAAAAGATAATAAAAGGTTGTGAAAGGATGAAAAGAGTGAAACATGTAGAATGAGAGGGTAAGAAGAGTGAAACACGTGTGTCAAAGTCAAAAGTGAGTGCCCATACACAAAAAGAGCACTAACTTTTTCTTGTGTCAAAGTCAAAAGTAAGTTGTTACATTCTTATACAGCTTGTAATCCCTAGATCTGATTGTCACCATGACCGTTGGAGTATGCTGATAAAAAATTTCTTATAATCTAAAGAATATTGACAAGTTATGGAATCTGGAATTGAAAAACCAGCCAAAGGCATAACTCTGCTTGGCACTGAAAAGATAGTGTTGGAAGGCAAGAAGTTGAAGGATTTAAAAGCAAAAAATTATCTCTTTCAGGTAATTGATCATCCCATCTTAGAAATAATTCTTTACAATGTTTCTTTTAAGGATATTTGAGATTCTATGAAAAAAAAACATTAGGGCTCCTCGATAGTGAAATATGCACACTTTTAAGCCTTTAGGAGGGATTTTAAGACTATAAATAAGGGATGGTGAGTCTATCATCAATTATTATGCCAGAACCAAGGAAATCAACAACAAAATACGATTCCATGATGAAAAAATGGAAAATGTCACCATTGTGGAGAATATATTGTGCTCCCTATCACCAAAATTCGATTATGTTGTTTACTCAATTAAAGAACCCAACGACATTGATGCTTTTTCTCTTGACAAACTTCAAAGCTCCCTATTGGTCCATGAACAGAAGATGGATAGAAGTTCAACTATGGAAGAGCAAGTTTTAAAAGCTTCTATCTCTACTGATACATCAAATTCCAGAGGCAGGGGCAGAGGAAAAGGTAGAGGTAAATGAAGAGGAGATCAAAATGGCAACAAACACTCCAAATTAGGGGAAAAGGTAAATGGTAAAATCAACATTTTGACAAGTCTAATATAGAGTGCTTCAGGTGATGCGGAACCTAGGACAACTAACATGATCAAAAACTTCGCATATAACATCAATATTTAAAATCATAAAACCCTTAACAAATGCTCCCTACTTGACCTACATTCAACACGTGAATTTCAACCAAGATAATTGAGATAGTTTGAATTGATTAAAAACACCACAATACGAACTTGATAAGTTAAAAATCAATTCAAAAGAAAATTGATAAAACACCACAAGGATTTACTTTGATAAGTTGAATTAATTCTCATTCAACAAGAAAGTTGAAGAAAACTAACTAATTAAAAACTAAAACTTCATAATTTTATTATTCTCAAACTTAATTAATTACAGTTGTGAACTGAAAACCTATTTATAGAGTAGGTCATATGCATTACAAGGAAATAAATATCCTAAATTAATGGTAAAAATTATAAAAAAGTAAGTCTTGTCTTAAATGAGAAAATAATGAAAATTAAGAAGATTTTGAATAGAATAGATTAGATAGGATATTCTCTTTTTAAATAAGAATATTTTGATTAATTGTGGAGGAATTAAGGGAAAGTAAATATGAAGAATTAAGGTTCGCTATTAAAAGAGCAAAGAGGCCACTCATATCTTTCCTAAACCGTGGGTTAGTTCTTCAAGGAATAATATTTGATTTTCTCTTCCTTTAAGATATCATATAATTTAGGAAGAAGTATTTTCTCTTGGTTGATTCTCTCTTTAAATAAATTATTTTTCCTATACTTGCTCATCATCAAGTGTCATAACTTTGGACATTATTATTCCGAATGCCATACAAAGCTGCTTAGTGACAAAGAAAATGGAAAAAAAAATCAAATTTTGCATAAAAGAAGGAAGGAGAGACCTTGTTGATGGTTGTTCAAGTTGATGGAAAACCTGAAATAGATATTTGGTATGTTGATACAGGGTGCTGTAATCACATGTGTGGAAGTAAGTCCCTTTTTCGTATATAAATTATGATATTTATTTTATAATAAGTTTTAGCGATGGTTTTACTATGAATGTGATGGGAAAAGGAGATATTAAGATTAAAACCAAGAATTGTTTCATTGAAACAATCTCAAATATGTTTTATGTTCCTAACTTGAATAATAACTTGTTGAGTGCTAGTCAATTGTAATAAAATGGCTATATAATCACTATTCAACAGGGTATTTGTGAGATATATGATCATGGCAAAAGAACTATCGTTGTTATTTTAATAGGTTCAAACAAGTTATTTCCTTTTAAGATTGAATGTGTTAAATCCTACTTATTAAGTGAAGTCAAAGACTCTTCATGGCTATGACATTTTCGCTATGGGCATTTGAGTTTTAACGGATTGAAGATTTTCCAACAGAAAATTATGGTGACACGACTTCATTATATTGATATTTCTTCCAAAATTTGTGAGGAATATGTTGTTGATAAACAACATCATCCTTAATTTCCTCAAGGAAAGTCATGGAGAGCAAGAACGGTCCTAGAATTGGTTCATTCTAACATTTTTGGACAAATAAACCCATCTTCTAATTGAGGTAAGAGATATTTGATTATTTTCTTTGATGATTATACACGTAAAATTTAGGTTTATTTTTTACAAGAAAAATCAGAAGCGTTTAATGCATTCAAAAGCTTCAAAGCACGGGTTAAAACAAATCAGAAAAGTCCATTAAAAGCCTTTGAATTGATCATGGTGGAGAATATTGCTCAAAATAATTTGTTGATTTATATACAGCACATGATATACGAAGAGAGCTCATAATAGCTTACACACCATAATAAAATGGTGTATCGGAGAAGAAAAATATAATAATTCTTAATATGGTGCATAGCTTGCTTGCAAAAGGATGAGCTCTAAAAACTTTTTATCCGTTATCTTAGCATACACATAATGGTCTTTATCTACCATAGACAAACTAAATGAAGCAATAACTTCATAAAATTTGAAATACCATTGCCTGAAAGACTACTTGAGACTATATATGGATCCTTTAAGATGAGAAAATTTATTTTCTTGACATTTTAAGATAAACCCAATAGGTTGATCCACATATATCTCTTCCTCAAATGCATCATTGAGGAAAGTAATTTTTACATCCATTTGAAACAACTCCAAGTACAAATGGGCAACCAGGGCTAGAATGAGGCGAATAGAGGCAAATCTCACCACAGGAGAACAATTCTCTTCATAGTTTATGCTCTCAATTTGGGTAAAACCTTTCTCTACTAACTGGGTCTTCAAATTTTCAATCGATCCATCCGTCCAACGTTTTA